AATACGTTTTTATTTGATTTAATATGAAAAATATTTATGACATATCATTCGATATATTTGTTATCTGATTACTTGATAATAATGAAATTTTAATACATTACAAGGGGTTACCTTTGGTTTCTTTTAGGGTTTTTATTTTAGTCCAAGTTCGGTCTCGACTATTTAGTTTCCGTCTAAATTTTAATGTTATTTACCAATGTAAATTATGGATACGTTGCATTACATGCAAAGTACAAGTTACAACCTTGGTTTAAATTCACCGATACATGCGAGTGCTGACACCTTTGAAATATCTTTCCACCTGCTGATAACGAGCGGCCATTTTGCTGTGAAATGGGTCAACGGATCATGGAGGAGATTAATATCAAGATTCGATCCCACAAATGAACAACTTTCGAAACTCTTTAGCATCCTAGTTAATAGCTACATTGCCTACGCGATTACATTAATATTCACAATAAACAAAATAAACTTGAAATCACGAGTCTGTGGCCCTGCGCCATTGATTTATGAATCAATTTCAGATAAGTTTTTTTATCGATTTCGTACTATTCGGTCAATTCCCAATCCTTCAAGTGAATTCAATTAAATTGTCGATACAGAGCGATTGCCTACATCAAAGTTTTGTATTCATGTGTTTTCCCACCTTGAATGTGAACAAAAAGTGATCGGTCACAAAGCATGATTAACTTCAGTATTATTGTCCAGACTAAGCGATTCAGGAATAACACAATAGTACGAATATAATGCCGAAAACCCAATGAGTTTCTTTTTAAGAATCAAAAATGACCTACAAAATTCTGGGCATTAATGGATAAATTATGAGCATACCAAATAAAGGGCGATCACGATCACGACTAGAAAAATTGCGGCTATAAACCGTTTTTAGAACAATATTCGTATCAATTTTGTTTTACATGCGGTAATCTCTTGTAACAAATTCTTATTACAACGCTGCCGTCTAAAAATAACGATTGTTCGTTAATAATACTCAAACTGAATGTTAATGTGATTCCCAATAAAATGGTAGTAATTTGTATCTTTGAACTATAGAAATAATCTTATTCAAACAGCTGATGTACGTATTTGTAAAAACTGTAACACGCAAATTGCTTGTTGTAAATTATATCACGTCCTCAGTAAATCTCTAGCTCGCGTCACGATTCTGGAACGATCCAATTGATTCGATAATCACTGAACTCATTTGCACATAACGGTGCTAAGGATATGTTTTATTAGCCTGTATCTCACACGTTGACTTTTAATCTCAATGGCACACAAAAGTGTTCCGGTTGAACTAGTAAGGGTTAGACAATAAGAAGAGCACCGCCTACCATCATGTACGGGTAGTATAGTATTTCTTTCATACGCCGAACAAAATTTAAAATTTCGCGTAATATAACAATTTGGGAAAAACCGGTAAACTTTCCAAAAGAAAGTAGAACAAAAATATTTATTGAGAATTTTACATGTGTAGCTACAGCATGGGTTAAAGGAGACAAAGCTCGACTCACAATTTGTGAACTTGCAAAGATGCAAATTAAAGTTCACGTACAAAAAAGAGAACTTTTACTTTCTTTTAAGTAAGCAGCAAATTGTCGGGTCGCAAGTTACAGCAATGCAGACGCTCACCTACTTTTTATGTAGGTTAATTTATGTTATTTTCCGCGCGACTACTCGCAAAAGAAGTGTCTTGTAGACAAAATATAATTTGTCATTTTTGCTCGTCGCGTGTCAAGATGAGAGTTTTAGACAGTATGATTATTGTTTAATTTTGTCTTTAAAATGCAATTACAATTATTGGAGTGTGAAGAACAAACAGAACGCACTTTATATAATGGATCTTCTGTGTATCTTCCAAACATTTTTAAGTCACACACACAAAACAACAAGTATAAATAGTGCACAACTCTTGTGCAGATAAAGCCCATTTTTTAAAGCCGAAATAGCTTACAGACCAGTCAAATTAGGTCCAAAGGCAGTCTTATAAACAAAAAACGAAGATAAAACGGGAAAATGTCGTTTTTTTCACATTTGACTTCAATTATCTCGTTAACTATTGCCCAGAGGGAAACTCGAATTTTCTGTAAGGTACAGTTGGTATGGAACGTTCATTTTCAAATGTTATTGTTTTTCATGGAAAATTATAAAAAAGAAATCACGAAAATTAACAATCTATTATTAATAAGTATAAAATCCGCCACTTGTTTTGATAACAAAACACTATGACAAACCCGATCACCATTTAGGTGTCATAGTCATTGATTAATTAAATAAACAAATATCAAAAACAATGCTTTGCCTTTCAAACTGGGAGATTCCCAGAGCGTTCTCAATGTTTTTACAGGACCCCTAAAACAACCGTTTCCAAAAATTGTCCCGATGATTCTTGCAAATGGACGAACTGTGGACGGTTGGTAGAAATTAATTCCTTTCGTTGAGACTCTTCATTAGAGTTCCGTGAACGATCCTGAAAGAACCTGTTCCACCCCCCCCTCCTTGTTAAAGAGTCAGAAAGAAGGGTGGTTGGCAGAAAACCGTTCGTTTTGTTGACACCTTTAATTAAAATACCATGAAAGATGATAGAATTACCCCCTCCCCCCGGCCACCTATTGATCTCGAAAAGGAGTCGCGCAGGAAAGTTATAGTTTGTGAAAACCAATTCATGTCGGCGAGACCTTTCATTAGAATACCATGATGGGTAGAACGTGAGGTCCCCCCAGTCACCTCCCCCCCCCCCCCCCCCCCCCAATTTTCAAAAATTTTACTTGGCACCACTAAAGACACGCGTATGCCAAGTCTGAGACGAGTTGGTTGAGAAGTAGTTCAAAACCGTAGAAATGGGTCCGGACGGACGGACAGACGGGCAGACGGACAAAGTGCAAACAATGGCACATTTTTTAAATTTAAAAAAAAAATGCGCTAAAAACCAGGTGATGCTTAGTCTGGGCTACGGTTTCATTTAATGAAGTTGTTGAGGGTGGTGGATTGGTAGTTAGGAAGTATCTATACATCCTCATGTCTAGAAGTGAAGAAATCGGCAGGGGGGAGGGGGATGTTACAAACGGTTCTTTTTTTGGTTTTTGTTTCACAAACGGATGAACAGCTTAGACGAAGGCGTGTACGTATTGTAATCCCGAAGGTGTCATTTCGTGCTCCAAGCCAAGTTGGGGGCAATATATGTATATGTATGCTTTGTTTGATGGTAGCTACGTGTGGTTTTTAATAATAAATGTCAATTTCATTTGAAGAAATCTCGATCGAGGTGTTGCCAAAGAAATATGGTTGATCTGTGGGGTTTTCGGCATTGTATTATACTATCGAGGTATTCCTGAATCGCTTAGTTTGAAAACCTATCCAAGTACACATCCAAGTACACACGTTCAACCCTTCATGGTATTCTAATAAAAGTCTAATCGAAATAAATTGGTTTGTACAAAGTATAACTTTTCCACGCGACTCTTTTTCGAAATCAGTGGATGAGATAGGGTTTTGGGGGGGGGGGGGCAGTGGAACAGGATTTATCCTTCATGGTACTCTAATGAAAGGTCTCAACACGAGGAATTAATTTCCACCAACCATAGTCCTCCTCCTCGATCCCTTATCATGATCGAATACATTCCCTTATATCTCATATCTCCAGAACGGATTGTCGGAAGAGAGTACTCACAAAGGGTGTTTGGGACATCTGGAAGAAATATATCCATTGGTGATTTCAAAACTTTAAGAGCGAATATCTCGAAAACGGTTTGTAGGAGGAAAGTACAGGCAAAATGAATCGACCGGACGAGACTATTGGTGAAGTCGAAGCTTTCAGTGCAAATATCTGCAGAATGGAGTGTCGGAGGATTTTGAACGTATGCCAGGCAGTGTTTAAATGTTTATGTAAAGAGCATCCTCTACATATAACCAACCATTTCCTAATATTTCTGTTAAAAAAATGCGCTTTATCTGCACAATAATTTTGCACAATTTATACTTGTTTTCTCTTTTTAGCGAATTTTTGATTTTCAAAAGTAAGCTTGTAGGCCGATCATTCGTTCGTTTGGGCGCCTTTAATAAATCGATCGAGATCTCGGTAATGGAATGTCGTAGATCCTTCGCAGTTTCAGCATTAGATATGTACAATCGTGCGTCACTTAGCCTGACACGTACTGATCTGCCAATCAAAAATGCGCGTAAGTCTTATGATGGCGCATCATTTTCACTTATTTAATTTTGAAAGATTAATTAAACATTACACTTTTTAAATATTTCGGTAAATGGTAAGCTCTTCTGGGGTAAACGGAACCGCAAATTTCAAAATCTACATTGACAAAATAATCAATTATTGCGAATAAGTTGGCAAAATTTTTTCAAATGTCACACCCGAGATGACACCCATTATTTGATGGTGCAGAATTTTATATCGAGATGCCTTAACTCTCTATCTTGTCGTGAAAACTACGTGATGCAAACTTTTCTTTGGAATATCATTTATTGGCAACGTTCGATTTCGAAGTCGATTTTGTTTTGTATAATTATTGATGTTGTTTTTTTGTTTAGATATTCGCTTGATTATTTTGTTTATGTTATATTAAATTTAAATTACGTGTTAAAGAACTAGATCTAAACATCTGGAAATTATTTGCTTAGTTTATCTCATGTTTTTCCCCGGTCTTAGATAAGATGTTTTCTTGTAGCTGCAAAGCTAATTAGTTTCAAGATAAGAGCGTGTTATTGCCAAAGTTTGACACATGTGCAGATTATTCTAAGACGGCGCATTATTTTTGTTTAAATGGAAAGGGAAAAGGTTTTTAATAAGCAAACCGGAAGTGCATCATGACTCTTTTATGGTGGAAGACGTGAATCGAGTTGTATGGACGTTGAAATGTAGCCGTATTTGCGCGTAATTGTTGGCAAAGTAGTCAGTTTTGTCGTTATCGAGGCTTTTTGAAGAGACAGTCAGTGTTGTTAAGTTGTGAAGTTTACGAAGAAGCCAGTTGTACTGCAATAAGAGTTTTATCTAATAACTCGTTATTTAAGTGAATGTTATAAGTGTGTTTTATGTTTACAAAGAAGTTTCTGTTAAAAGGGTTATGCCTATTATCAATCAAGTCTAAATGGAGTTTTAAGTGAAATCAAAGTTCCGAAGTATATTCGCTTGGTGTTTGTGCTGCAGTTATAAAGAGATTCGCAATTATAACCGGATAATGAAGAGTGTTTAACTTAAACTTAAACTTTATTTAAATTTAATATGTTCGTCCGATCGCTTGTTGAGTGATACTTGGTTTCCTGGCCCTGAGTGCCACTGTAAACTCTGGAGCCTCACAAGGATCCATTCTGGGGTCGCTTTTATTTTTGATAAACTTTAATGGTTTCCCGTTTTATTTAAATAATATCACCGATTGCATTTTATAGGCAGACAATACCACAGTGATGTTTCTGATAATAATTTGAACAATCTTCTCGACAAATGGCGTAAGGCTAGAGACCTAGCAGAACTATGGTGTAACGCAAACGAACTAACAATAAATAAAGACAAAACTGTGTCATTGATAATGTCGCTAAAAGCGCATGAATGATCCAATCCAAATTTTTCAAAATTCTGATGTCAAAATTGATCCTCAATTAAACTTTTCGGAGTACACTCATTTACTGGCAAAGCTAATAGCGAGTAAAATTTATCTCTTATGACGTCTAGCGAACAACGTCTCGCCCCATATTCTAAAATTAGCTTATTTGTTTCCCATACACAGCCATATTGGTACTGTTCAATGGTCTGGGGAAATTGTGCAACCGTTCGCCGCATCTTTGCCCTTCAGAGACGGGCAATACGTATTGCTCAGACTTCCATACTTACTATTATTACCATTACTATTGTTACGTATTGTCAAAGTGACCGGTGGCAGGACATGTATTACTTCCACCATCATGGAAAATTTCTTGAGACAAAGTAGGCATGAAAGAGAAGATTTCATGACGATTTAGGCAAATAATTATTCACATATGAGTATGGTAAATCAAGGTTTACGTCAGATGTTTACTGCTGAACCATAAATCGACCTCTCCAGGAACGTTAGAGTGACTTTAAGTGCAAATTTCTTATACCAAATCCCCATAATCGGTCGATTCCTATTTTGATGCAATATAAAAAATTTAATTAACTGACATTTATCGATGCAATGTTCCCCCATTCTTCCATTGAGAACTGATACCCTTTATCTGGTTACTCATTAAAAGTGAAACTCGCAAAAAGATTTACGAATTTGAAATCGTTTCAGTTTCCTCATAAGTTCTTATTTGGTATATTTATGGGAAAAATGAGCAATGTTCCGCAGTATGGAAATGTCCAAACTTACGGTTTGCAGTTAAAGGAAGCACAAATTAATTGTATTTAACCTTTTTACCGGTTGCCGTGTTATTTATAATATTATGAGCACCTCGTATAAACAAATGACATGCAGAACTTTGATTAATAAACTGGTTTTTCAACGTAACTAGCGACTCGAAAAATAACGCAACGCAATTTTTTGCACCTTGCACCCGAACGCTTTCGTGGTAACAATTTATTTGAACACTAACACCTTAATCCAATAATTCACCAAAACTAAAACTAACAGTAAGGCTTCGCATATATTTTCAGAGAAGTTTTTACCTGCAAGTTCCAAAGGTTTCCAATTTTGAACGGTGGACTCACCTGAAACAAAATTACAAAATTAGTTTAAAAAAGAGTAATCTAAAATTACTTGTTGAAACCTTCCAGGTCGTACAAGTCTGATTTAAGACCATTCAAATAGCCCTTATTTCTCACAGAAATTAGACGTAATCTGATTCCCATGCCGTGAGCATAATCCGGAGGGCTTTTGGCAAGGGGGGCTGAGGTTGCAGGGGCTATCGAGTCACACATGGATGACGTTGGCGTATTGTGATACCTGATGGTAATAGTGGAATAGTGGCACAGATGATTAATTGTGGGTAATTGTGGGCCCACTTCTAAATAAGATAAAGATGAAATTTCCTATTATTGTTAGTCTGGATCTTGTTGAGGTTGCCTTTTTAGTTAACCCAATTTGCAGTGTGAAACGTCCCGAGGACCCTATACCGCGAGTTGTGGCACTCTTCTTCTATTGCAAGGTTGCAATTCTCAATTGATGTGACCCATAGCAGCACTACGTCTGAAAGTGAGAGTGACAGAACATCATCGTTTAGATGTAATTCGTAGAAGTAGTCCATCGCCTTGTGGTCTGAAATCTCTAAGTTTTTTCCACGAAGTAGCGGTGTGGCGATATAAGCGTGGTCGATTGTGTTTGTAGGCGATACGTTGTAAAACGCATATTTCAAGGGCAAGTCGGCGCATGAAGAATCTTTCAAAATTTCAGGGTGAAGAGATTGCAAATAGTGTTGATTGGTTTTTATCGTCCATACCTTCAGTACTGCATAATGCAGCAGTACACGTCCAATGTAATGGTAGGATAGTGAGAATGTGGCAGTGCCAGAGCTTGGACCGTAAATGATCACTAAAGGACGAAGAAATGTTAAACGAATTTTAGTTACATTAATTTTGCAAATGAGATTTTAATCACTTGATTAGGAAGGTAGGCGGTCGCTCTACAGAACAATAATCAATAACAACATATTGTTATCTCACTTTTATTGCATTCGCAACCTAAGTGGATTTCTCAAAGGTAAAGGACGGATTAATTAACTTAAAGAATTCTGGTTAATTAAAATAACCTTCAAAACCATGAACTTCAAATTAACCGCTCAATTTATTCTAATTTAATCAAACATTTATTACGAATTTACTAAAGAACTATAAAATTAATTTTAACTAAAAATAGCTCAACTCTATTATCTACTTTTTACGTAGAATATTCCCCGATTCGTTTACTATGCGAAAATGGTGTAGGGAACACTCCTAGTCCGTTATCCCGACAAAAAACGGAGCAAGCTCTTCCAATTAAAGTTGCAACTCTAAACAACTTATTATCTCAAGACCAGGCTCAAGACACTCAAACCCACTCCAGGACTTGGTGGAACATGATGTAAGATTGTCGCCATGGGAGAGAAGTCTTCAAAGGACTATCTCGTAGCCTGGCGCGGTTTTACAAAGGGCTATCATGAAAGAACCCGTTACTCGTGGGCATACTTTCTGGGCACTGCAAACTAAACAAGCATATCCACATGCATTGCATGGGTTTGGTAGAATCATCATCTTGTAGACGATGTGACACAGACCACGAGACGGCACACCACATACTTGGTGAATCTCCCACTCTAGTCGAAGTGACGATCCATGGTGGAGGTATCCTGGCCGGATATGACTACGATCAAAGCCGCTTCCCCTTCCGGCATTCTTAGGTTCATCTTACATGGGGGATGGTTTGAGAGACGTTGAGGAGTCGGACAACTCTAGTCAGGGAGGTAGTATAAAGGGCTCGAATTTGAGGCTTGTCCACCCTCTATAGCGCGTTCGCACCTCCAAATGCAGTATGGTGCTTATGGACATACAGTACATGCTTGCCAAACGTGACAAAGACAGCACAAGGAGATTATGTTTTGTTTTAATACTTCAATCATATGTCAATTTGACATCACTGCGGTTAGAAACAAGGATAGCATTATCGAAGAATGACACAAACTAGTAAGAGAGGCAATTAGTCCATAAGGCCCCATACTGCATCTGGAGGTGCGAACGCGCTATAGATACTATGCGAATATTATAAACCGACGGGTTCCATGGCCTAAATGTTCCTAAATGCTATTAATTTGCACTATTTTATAAGAGGGAAACGGAACCGACATGCGACAGCAATAGAGAATAATAAAAAGCTGCAGGATAGGAAAGAACATAATAGGGCTGTATACAGGCGTGGAGAGGCCACGAAATGACGAGAGACGATAGTAGAAGTGAGGAGGAGGGAGAGCCAATTTCCACCGGGTAAAAACGCCCCCTCCCTCGCCGCGCACTTGAACCCCCGGGAGACGTATCCACTGAACAGTAACCGTTTGTATTTCAATAGAAAGTATAAGGGATTATAATGTTCTAACAAATCAACACTGTTTGGTGTCACACTCCATTTGGATTCAGTAATCATCTTTGAAGTTTGAACACTCATAAAGAAGGAGTTTATTTAATGGTGAAAATGGTGAGCCCTTAAATACTAGAGATAACGAGAAGACGGCGACGCTTTAAGAGCGTGGATTTTTCGTTTACGCTAAATTTTTCGGGCAGTCAGCCTGTGTATGTGAAAACGTATTTCGTCAGTATTGCAATAAAGTGTGCAGGAGAAGTTAAACAATCTTAAAAAAAGATTTAAGTTATTACATCGTACAGTGAGGTTGTAAAAGTATGAGAGAAAAGCGTTTTGTTCGTAAAGTTGCAGTTAGTAAAAGTTGAGTAAACCCAGAAGTAGTTGCATAGCGAAGCCTTTTCTACAAGGTTTGTCATTTATTAAAAGTTAAAAGTGTTCTACCGTCCGAAAAGCCACCCAATTTTGCCTTCAAATTCAAGAAACCATATTTTGTCATCAAGTTCAATGTTATCCTGAAACTGTCAGTGAGTGTTTTTTTGTTGAGTTAAGTGCACCTAGTATCGCAACCTTTTTACAACCAGATTGATTGGATTATTCAATATCTGTGAGTAATTAAGATTTTTTATTTATTTATCTGTCGAACGCATGCGTGCGTGGTATGTATAAAAACAAGCTCTGAATGCTTTTATTTCGTCCACCAATTTTGTTTTAATTCATTCATGTGTTTCGGAATACATTTTTGTCATTGTCAACCAATTAATCGTGTGTTTATTCGAATCCAAAGTTTTTATCAGATTTTTTCTATTGGTACACAAGATTTATTTTAGGTGTTGATCAAAATTGGTGTAATTAATTCGTTGCAATTGATGGAGGCCTTCGACTTGCTCGAATTGAGAAATTGAAAGTCAATATTGCCACAAAATGTTCCCCTTCGGAAAAACTCTGGTTCGAAACATTCTGAAATACGGACGACAAGAGAAAACGGGGACAAATAGCTATCAGCCACCAGTACTCGAGAGAAATTTCCTCGCAACTTTAGTAAAGCGTCTGTGAGTCTGAATTGGAGTAGGGTCATAGTTAAATTCGTGTACAAAATGTGTACGCGTTTCTTGTGTCAATAAACTTTCCATAAAAAGGATGCACTTTAGTGCAACGCGTACGCATATTCAATTGTTATCACCACAAATGATTTTCACTCACAGTTGGGACGAGTGGGAAACTATTTTAAAATCGCGAAGGTATAAAGTTAGTTTAAAGTATTTCTAAGAAGGGGTCGAAATCTATGTTTTTCAAAAAGTTCTAAGAATCCCAATTCCCCCTCCCTATTCTGACCCTTTTAAAATGTAAAGGAGTTTCCAAGCGACGCCAAGAGTTCGAAATAGTAGTCCAAACATGCCAAATACTTCAATTCCGGTTGTGGGAAAATATTGGCAAAAAAACGAGTTTCACACGACGAGTTCCCAGATACTGATGGACACAAGACGTGGCAAACGCTAGGAGAGAAGTTCTTAAAGCAAGAGGACGATTTATTTCGAAACGCCAGGAAAAAAGTGCAAATAAACATGGATGATTTTGAATCGGGGTGCCGATAACAGGTATGGAACCGTTTGATAAAAGAGCACTTGATGTAGTCGTTAATAAACTAAACAAATATAGAAAACGAACTCCTGGGTATGGCTATAGCATGTGCAAAACCAAATTTTAAACTTGATGTTAGTTTTGCTTTTATTTAAAATGTATATGTATGAAATTTCATTTAATTGCTTCCATAAATAAGAAAGTTGACACTGCGCATGCGCAAAACGAAATTTTGACACTCGCGTTAATTTTGGTTTTATTGCAAGTGGTTATGTATCAAATTTTATTTAAATCCCTCCATAGATAAGAAAGTTTGCAATGGTTTATCAATGGTCGAGATGCGAAAAGGGCACTGTGAATGTTGATCGATTAGGCTCAATTTTTGGAATTGCGTTTTATATGGCTAAAGCTATACGCATATTGAATTTCATGCAATTAGGTTCATAACTCACGGAGATGTCAAAAGGGCCTTCCTTATTTTTTGGGCTGCATTGCCAATTCCGATCTATAAATTTAATTAAAAAAATCCGTCTACTAAATTTTATCGTAATCGGTCCATTCGTTATCGAGATATCGTGCTAACGGACGGACAGACCGACAGACACAGCAAAATTATAAACTCGCTGGGAGCTCGTTAATAAAGTACGAGATAAGAAGGCACCTCGGCCGGATAGTATGCCAGTAGATATTGGAAGTCAAAGCCGATGGAGGGAAAATGCTATCCAAATGTGACTTTCCACAGATTTGGAAGAAGCTATCTTGGTCCTCGTACCAAAAGGTGATCGAAAAATAAGACCAAGGAAGTTCATTGTATGAACGCCTAATAAATCCAAGAATTTTGAAGCATCTAGAGGAAAAAGGAAACCTATCGGAAAATCAGTCCGGTTTTACGAAGGGTAGATTTAGTCTGGATGTGGTGAAGGAAGTCTTAAAAATATGGAGTAGTGAGTACATTCGGGATCGTGGAGACAGAAAGACACTCGACACGGAAAACGCATTCAACTCGGAAATGGGATCGAATCTCAGAGGAGTTTGAAGCAGGAATCAATACTTGTCTCCACCCTGTGGAACATTTTGTATAATCCGGTCGACTTCGGTACATCAAAAAGTGCTACGCGAAGACTAATCATCAGCACAGTAGAAAGTATTGTCATGTATGGCGCTCCGGTATGATCGGAAGTCATGAAGATAATTTCGTACAGACAAAAGCTCCTGGCAGTGCAACGAAGAGTATGTCTTCGGATCGTGAGCGGGTACAGGTCAACGAGCAGCGAGGCGCTCCACGTAATGGCCGGCAGCATCCCTTGGCGTTTAGTAGC